AGTGGCCGGCTCTGTCCCAAAACCCTGTTCCATTGGCTAAGCAAACCACAGGCTCCGCCTGATAAACGGGTACCTGGGCAATGGGAGAGAATAGGGGGCGGGGTCCAAGCGGCGGCGCCACGTTCATTGACAAACGCGCGGGGAGATGGCCTAGTGGATCGTGGATGGGGGAGGGCGAAGGGGGCCAACGCAGTGCTTGGAGAGTCCTGCCCTGGGTTCCACGGGGGCCTCCCCGCCGCGGTGTTGGGATCCTGGAACATCCTGAGGGACTGGGGCCAGCCGAGGCGGAGTGAGAGATGAAGGTGAGGGAATAGTTTCCGCCAAAAAAGAAAGAAAGAATATTTAAAGAAGACAAGAAACACGGTAGCGATCCGGCTTTAAATCTAGGCACTATCAGACTCGAAATGGATTCAGCATGTGCGCATATCTGCCTGTTTTGACCTCGCTTTCCTTATCTATAAAATGGGCAGAGTTGGGTTAACTGGTCTTTGGTGAAAGCTCTCCAACGGAAACATTTCCTAAGGTTATCAAGCATCTACTAAGCCACCACTGTCTCCTCCTCCTCGTCTATCTTCCTCCCTCACTTCACCCGCAGGGCCACATATTCTTTATTAACCAAGGCAGCGACATGGTGGTGGTGGAGGGGGGGGGGATTTATCACCCTGATTAAAAGTTAGTAACTATTGCGCTCCTAGGAGAAAGGGCTATCTGGGGCTTTGAACCAGGTTACCCAGCCACAGAGCAGAAGGACCTCAGACAGGAGCTGCCAGACTTTTTTTGGTTGGAGATGCGCACAACTGAAGACTTATTTGCAGGAGGAATGTCCCATCCAGAGCTAGGTCTCTTGAGAATCAAAGGAGCCTGGTGGAGTCCAATGCTAATTAAGGTCCCTGCACTGGCGGGTGGGCCTGGCATATTCTATCTGCAAGAGTTAAGCAAATCTCTACAATGCTAGAGCTACCATCTGTTGGAAACACCCGACCTTCCCTTGCCTGGGGAACTTCCTGTCCCTTTTTAAGACAAAATGGATGGATCTCTAGCAGAACTCTCCTAACACAGAAGAGGTCTTTGACCAATGAGTCTCAGTTTCTCCGCGATGTAAGGTTCTGGGACCAAAATCAAAGGAACTGGGGCTTGAAAAGGAAGCATGTGAGAGTCATTCTTCACCCAGAAGGATGTTGTTCTGTAAACTCTACCGTGAGCCAGGGTCCAGCCCTAAAAGAACCGCTGAAGATTCCCCCGCCCCAGTAGCTTGTGGGAGTGGTCCAAAGACTCATCGTTTCTAATTCATGAATAACAATTCCCTTCTATCAAAAACAAACCCTCCAAAACAAGGATGAGATGCCTGCTCCAGACCTGGGCTTGTAAGGAGGTCAGAACATAGGCTGATCTTGGAAGAGCTCTTGGGTCATCCTCTGTCTTATTCTTTGCCTCAGTTTCACCTTCTCTTTACTCCTGCTCCACTTTCCATATAGCTACACCACGTTCGACCTTGGGCTCACCTTCTGTTCCGTTCCCAGACTCAGCAGCCCCCTAACCAGTAGACAGATTTCCGGCCCTGACTCCCATCCCCACCCCCGCCAGGGCACAGCTGTGGTAAACGGCCCCAGGCGGGCCTCTGGGGACTAGAGAGGCTGCGGTGTGTGTGTGTAGGCGGCTAGCTCTGCTTAGGCTGGAACCCCGCCTATCTGGATCTCCATGCCCCACGCCTGCCTTCTCAAACCCCACGCCTTTGGAGTAGCAAGATCGCGATAGCGAGAAGGGACGGACATGGACTGGAGTTCCTGAGTTCGTTTCACCACGCGGCGCCCAGGGGCTCGAAAATGATGATAATTCAGCAGCCCCCCCCCCCCCAACCTAGACTCAACGTGGCGGCTCTGGGTTCCAACTGGAGAGCCTGGAGTATGTAGATGCCCCAAAGAGACCGATGCATCAGTGACACCTCCACCCGAACCTCAGTCCTTGAGTTTGGGCCTACAAATGCAGATTCTAGAGTCTTAAATCTAAGGTCCCTGAAACTATGCTTTTCTCATCTTGCAGATGAGGAAGAGGAACCTGAGGCATACTGGCGGGATGCGACTTGTCCAAGGTCACACAGCAAGTAGGAGAAAAGCTCTGTGCCCAAAACCTCTTTCTCAGAGGCACACCTCCATAGCCACCCTCGGGCTAGCGGAGTGTTGGGAGAGGAGGGATGTTCACAAGTCATAACCCGGCTGGCTGGATGCGCCCGCTCACACCAGTTTTCCTTCCTACTGATACCTGTGTGGCTTGGACCAAACACTCGGGCACTCCTGAAGGGGAATGAACTGCAGGTATTACTCAACGATAGTGCGGCTTCCTCATTTCACACAATAGGTGTCGGGCTTCGGGACTTTTTCCACTGCGTGGCAGTCCTAACTTGCATATCGAGAGCTGCCGCTTCCTGCACCTCGTGGTGCACCAGGCTGAGGGTAACTCCCTCTGGGTGAGGGCTATTCACTGCTACCTGAACCCGCCAGGCTCCGGATAACTTCCAATCCCAAAAGGCACGACCAGACCTGATATGGGCTACCTCGCCCAGCCTTACAGGCCACCAAAGGGCGCCGCAGAGAGGTTACACTACCAGCCTGGGATTACACAGCGATTGTATTGTAATAGCTGGGCAGGGCTTGGGCGCCTAAATCTCGCCTCCCAATGCCCACCAGCCACAGTCTGAGTTCAGGAGAGAGATCAGCGGGGAGCTGGGGTCCCGCACTCTGCTGAAAACTGCCTAGCAGTGCTCAACAGTCCTGTGGTTTCTTTCTCCCAGCAACAGGACTTTGGGCCCTACCCTGTGCTAAACACTGGGGACCAAAGACCCATGCGGGAAACCATCTCGGAAGAGACTCAATTTATTAAAATTGAGTTGTCTTTTGAAAGTTATGCTGTTGAAAGCACACTGAGAATGTTTGAGAAGCCAACAGTTTCTGAAAGCGTCCACCTCGGTCTTCAGCCAGAGACCACTTCACTCGGGGGCACATCCCCTTCATGGCTTCTTTCTTGCCTTCCAGCCACCCCCTTTCACGCATTGCTGTAGCGTCAGGCGTCAGGATGTTAGGGTGGCTACAGTATTCTACCCGCCTGAAATCAATTCCCAAAATTCTAATCCAGCCCATTCCCTTGATTTTGTTTGGGCAAAGCAAGGCCTGTAGGGTTCAGAGTAATTGCTCAGTTTGGGAAAGATCAGAGGTATGGCAGACACTGCTCTCTTCACCAGGTGGGTTCTCACCAACCCTCATTTTAAAAGCATCAGAAATAGTGACTGACTCGAGTCTACACAGTAAATCTGGGCGCAGCTGTCTGTGCTTGGATCAAGACACTGCCCTACTCAGCTCAGTCTGTTTGCAGAAATAGTTGAAGAGAGAGAGAGTATGTGTGTGTGTGTGTGTGGGGGGGTTTAACCAGGTTTTCCCAAGAACCTTGCAATCTGCCTTAGGGTTTGTTATCTTTACCAGGCAGCCCCATAGGCCAGGAGCACTGGGACTAACTTTCTCTCCCAAAGACTTAAGGCAAGCAGCACCTAGGGTCTCAGCTTCTCCTAATGCAAAGAACCAAGCCTGAGATAGCACCTCCCAGGACTCTGTGGGATGAAGTTCATGGATAGGGCTCATTCCAGAACTGTGAGACTGGATGCCATTGCCCAACAAAAAAGTACTCAGCCCATCCAGGTGTTTCTGGCCTACAGACTCAAGGCTCTCAACCCAACTGCAGATAGTCTCCCCAATAGTAGTTAAGTCGTTCTTCTTCTAGGAGGTCCATGGAGAGAGGGGGAAATCTATCTGTTCTCTCAGCAGCAGTGATAGGTCCAAGGGCAGAGAGGTTGCCTTCTAGTCTTACTCCTTCACGACTCTTGTTTTATTCCTACAACCCCTGCCTACATACAACTCCTGTTGCCCTCCCGACCTGACCTCTGCTTTCCCTTTTCCATACAAGGAAGTGCTAGAGATCTTTACATGACCCTATGCTCAGGGCACACTCCTCCTGATCTTGGGCTTAGAGTTAAATGGACATATTCCCTCTCCATTGTACAGATGCGGAAACGGGTTGGGGAAGGAATATAATGATTCTGAAGGAAGGGAGTTTTGGCAGCCCATAAAAGGTCTAGAAATTTGGAGAGGGGAAAAGCCCTCTAAGAAAGAGGACCTGGAATCTCCCTGGAGTGCCAGCCTTTCCAACCCCCTCCTCTTCTCCAGCCCAGGCCCCAGCCAGTGTAAACAGCAGAACTGCAGTGTCACCTGAGCTGTTGCTTTTGTCCAGGCAAGCAGCCCTTACCCCAACTAGGGGGTGGGGAGGGGCGTGGCTCTCTAGATTTTTAAACTGGGCCAGTCTAGAGCTGCCCCCACCCAAACCCCACCCAGTCTGGCTGCACTGAGGAATGAAATGCTTTATTGATTAAACGATTATTCAGGCGATTGAACTAATCAAAGAGCCCATCGACCGCCATGAATTACATTCTTCGTGGACAGCTTGTCGGGAGAGGCAGCCCAGTGGACCGCACAGACCCTCTTCCTGACCCTCACATGCCTCTAACCCATTCCCAACATACACACACCCCATAGTCCGAGGCGCAGACACCTCTGGGAGTCCCATCTACTGAGGTACTCACCCAGTGGGGAAAGGAGGGCCTTGTGGGAATTGGGGATGGGGAAAAGGGAGTTCCAGATTTTTTCTGTACCCTTGGACTGGGAACACTCTTAGGTCCTCCCTTGCCCCCTTGCTCCCCACCTTATATTTCTGCGCTTTTCAGTTATAATTTGGAACCACATCTTTAGCCAGTGAGTTGTCTGGGCTTGGGATCTAAGTTTCCCCCTTTGTC